CATAAATATACTATATCTATACTATGACTATACTATACTATACTATACATATACCTATACTATACTATACTATACTATACTAATACTATACTATACTATCTATACTATACATTACTATACTATACTATAACTATACTATGACTATACTATATCTTATACTATTATCATACTATACCTATAACTATACTATGTATTTACTTATACTATACTATACTTCTAACATGACTATACTACAATTTCGCACTATTAGCGCTAGAGATGCCGTCCTATGTTAATACAGCTGTTAAGAAAATGTTCGATAGCAATCGTAGGACTATGTTTGGAGAGCCATGCATCTGACTGAGACTTGCAGCGCGTACCGTGCGGCGTATATTCGAAAACAGCGTGAGCTCGCTAATCCTTCAACCTTTTATGAAGCAACAAGATTTTATTATGCGGCACGCTATAATATTTCACTAGAATAATGAGGCTAGACCGTTAAATAGTGTAGCAAGTAGTTTGAATCTGGGTCTATGAAGAATGGGAGAAAACGCAAGACAGACAACCTCAAAGATACTTCAACCATTTTTACTTTGAAGGAGGCCGCGCGATGAAGAGATAGAGCGAGAGAGCGGAGAAGAGAGAGAGAGACGGGGGAGAGGATGAGGAGAGAGCAGAGAGATATTGAGAGAGAGATGAAGAGAGGGGGAGAGAGACAAGAGCAGAGAGAGAATGACGAGAGGAAAGGAGAGACTGAGAGAGAGGAAGAGGAGAGAGAGAGATGCGCGCGGAGCGCACGGGAGGGAGAGAGAGGCAGGAGACGGGTCGACGCTGCAGTCTCCAGTCAGCAGTGATGGGGGAGGCTCTGCCAAAGAACAGTAATCGACTTACGGATATGCTATCAGGAACATTTTTACAGCTGGTATTAATTGGCCGGCCATGACTTCTACGATATAACCGTAGCCGCCAATGTAGGAGATATTTATAGTTAGTATAGAGATATAGTTGGGAGAGAGAGACTATAGGGATGAGATACGCAGCGAGAGAGAGATATAGGATATAGCCGATGCTGCTATAAGTATAGTAATGTATATTATAGATCGTAGAGGAGACAATAGGAAGAGTCAATAAGTGAGATGAGAGTAGACAGACGTATAGGAGAGGATAGTAGCCTAATAAGTGAGTGAGGAGAAAGATATAGGTAATAGGGGGGAGGTATAGTGTATAGTGCGATATAGTATGATATAGAGAGAGAGAGATGATAGGATATGAGGAGAAAGTATGATGAGCCTATCAGTAGTAGGTGAACGATATGGATAGTAGAGATGAATGCGACGCGTGATGCCTCATTCTGACGGAATGATATTGTAAAGATACATTACGCCTCTCAATGTGAATATCTTCCCCTGTAATAATCTATGTATCTTCAGGGTAATCTACGATCCCGTATAATAGCGGTCTATAGTTCCCTGCTCGCAGTTTACTCAAGCCTACTGCTCTCAAACACCTCTAGCTACCATCGCTTATTTTAGCATAGCATAGCATTGTTTGGAATAGCCTCATTGTATCGTAGGACATCGCTCCGTCGATCAGGCCGACATAGGATAGCGCTAGCATGCCATGCATAGCATGCTAGCCAGTTCTCAGACACAAGTGTAGGATTCTCGTGAAGCACCTAAAAGGATCGAGTAGGCCCTCATCAAGACACATAAGCAGTCGGAGCCCAACATAGCACTTAGCGTGTAGACATAGCGCATAAGCACTCATGATCATTTCACCGATTTATTCTTGTCTCAGCTGTGTTGAGGGTGTATCATGGGAGGTCATTGTAATAGTGCACTCTCGCGAGTATAAATAAAATAGTTAGTATTTATTTAGTATCTCGTTCGGTCCGGAATTTTTACTTTTTTTTCGTTTGTCATAGATAAAATAAATGAGAGCCAATAATAATTATACCAGAATATATTGATTTCAGCAATTTTATAATAGGATACGCACGCAGCTGTCTGCGATACTACTCCTCCGTAATTCGTTTATTTTTTAAATTTAGACCGAACTGTATAATTAAATGATGGCACTCTTCATACTATGGTAGAGCCACTAGGTCTAGCCTTACCATCATATTGACAAAAAAACAAATCGCTCTAAGAACCTCGTCCACCTACATTAATTAACAAATTTAGTTAATTATGCGTAGTAAGTATCACATCTCTGTAATATCGGAAACTTTTAGGTTAATATACTGGAATTTAGCTACTTCTGTACATATATAGCTCTCAGAAAATGTATGTCTATAACGTCGAGTTACTACATCTGATAAATTAGTTCATAGAGCGTCGGCTCACTTGTCAAATATATAAAAGCGCTTTTCAACCTAACTACCTTCTTTATGGTGAACTAATACGTACTACATTGAGCGAGCTTGTTTGCTCTGTGATAAGGGTACGGGTCTAGACTAATAATTTCGACACTATTCCTACAACGCTGGCGATATTCGGAGAAATAGGCTCAATGCTCGGAGGGTAATATTTCAGACAGCGGTATATACGAATAGTTATGGTGTTGGTAATATCCGGTGTACTAGGATTGCGTCACACAGAGCTATAACACGGATTTTCAAAACGATGCAATAAGTAAAACTTCTTGCTACTTACTTTAATTACGTTCTTACTGCTAAGAAGATATAAATTTCTACAACTCTTCATTTAATTGGTAAGAGATAGTTATGAACCTCTATGGATATTTAATGTCCTTCCCACTATTCTCATCATTTAATGATAGCTGATAATTCAAGTATTATTAGTCTTAATTATATGTAGATTTCGTTAATTATTAGTTATGTCTTATATTCACACACACACAGAACATAGCTTGAACTCGAAGGAGTCATAATGTTCGCGATCACAAATTCCTTACAATGTCGATCCCTATCTACTTTAACACATGAGCATAACAATTACTAGATACTCCAAACGCAAGTATCCACCATCCTATATCCATTTCTCACATTATTCTAGACTGTTGAGCATAAGAACCGAACGTGTACGTAATATCTCCGGACGGATTCACACTGACAGTCATAAATCTGATACACATACCAACTAGTCGAAAATTTTGCACATAACGTAGTCAGACTCTCGATTTTCTTGAATCGACCAATTTTACTAGTTACGCGATACGAAATTCCCTAGCAACTTGAAATAATTCGATAAATTGAAATCTAATGAGCTGCTGAATTTTACGAATGTTATTGCAAGATAATGCTGAGATATATA